TCCCATGTATCCATTCTTCGTGATAAGCTCCTTTTTTTTCCAGGGAAGTGGGAGTGTTTCCTTTCAAGTTTCTTTCTGTTTGGCCGCTGTGCCTACGAGTCCCAATTCCGAGAGCTAGTGTGTTCTGCATCAATGATATGCGATGTCGTCCACATTGACTGATTATTGTGCTGTCAAGAATGGTGAAGTGATGAAGAAATAGCTTGCTGAATATTGTTGCCAAGAAATTCAGTGATTATGTGTGTCATGCACATTGGTTTGAAATATGTGGTATCTGCATCAGTCTCGTATAATTGAAGAAACCTGGCACTTTTAGAAACGTTTACAACCCCTTCCCTTACACTCTTCATTTTTCTTCTTACTATTCATCTCATTTAAACCATGATATATACTAGGTACAGTTTCATGGGAAATGGTCACCTTTCTCTACTTTTCCCTTGTAGCCATCTTTTGTGCAAGCCTAATCAGGCTCCGCCACTGCTAAGCGCTCTGAGACAGTACCCTGTGTGGAGGGCGCAATATGAGTGCAAGTTGTTGTTGCTGCTGTAGACAGACGCATGAGCAGTAACATAGCAACAGTTTCAGGCATCAAATAACCAATTGGTCCAACAATTGGCATCAGCTTGGCTTCTTTGGCAACATTCCTGCCTCTGAGTCAGAAGGTTGTAGGTTCAAGCTCCACAGTAGGACTTAGACTTAGTCTAGACATGGTCTAGGCTAACACTCCATTGCACTGCTGGGGGTGTACTGCATTGTTGGAGGTGCCATCCGTCAGATGAAACTTTAAGCCAAGATCCTGTAAAAGATCCCATGGCACTATTCAAATAGAGAAGAGAGTTTCCACTTTTGACGTATGAACATAAATTGAGTGTTGGCAAAATGTGCAAGCATGGGATAAGTTTGTCCTTGGCTGTCATGTGCTTCACAGTGGAATAATAATCCTAATAATAATAATCCTTGCATTTGATATAGCGCTTTTCACGTCGGGAGGACGTCCTAAAGCGCTTCACAGAACACACTGTAAAGTGAATTGACTGTATATTTGTGGGCGAACGCGGCAGCCAATTGCGCACAGCAATGTCCCACAAACAGTCGTAGATTGAAAATGACCAATTTATTATTGTTTTTGGTTTTGGAGGGATTATTATTAGGCGTGTGGAGTAAGGAAACTTGGCCAAGGTTTCGCCCCGCCTGGAATTGAACTCAGGTCTCTCGCTTGCAAAGCGAGTGCTCTAACCACTGAGCTACAGGACTCCACAATAGTCTACTGAGACTTATTACTGTCTAGGCCAGGGTCAGTAAAACGTGACAATTTCTTGCCTGCAGAGAAATTTCTTCAGGCATGGAGCTCAATGTCCAGCCCACATAACTCCAAGTTTCAACTCGAGTTCTACTTCCCACTCACACATTCAACAAAGGTGGACTTTCATCGTATGAATGCAGCCAGCTTGTGATTGCCTAAAACAGTTTGGCGCCCAACCCAACCTTGGTAAAAAGTCAAATTTCTGGACTTTTGGTATTTGTTTAATAAAAGTTGCCCAGCCCTGCTCTAAACTCATACAATGGCCATGTGGTCAAGGTACAGGAGAACTGCAGAGACCCAGTGGAACCGTGAGGTAGTCCAGCAATAAGTCAGAGCTGCCAGAAGAGAAGAGGACAAAAAGGGAGAGAGAAAAAATTCAGCCCTGGTGAATTTTCCCCTCTTCATGTTCAAGAGAAGAGAATTTCTCCTCGGTGTCCTGACCAACAATCCTCACAAAAATAAAACTGGTCACTCACTCCATGACTGTTTGTGGGACATTGCTGTGAGTAACTGTTTGCCATGTTCTGCTCACAAAATACAGTAAATCCACTTTACAATATATCCTGTGAAGCACTATGACATATCTCCATGACACGATAAGACGCTGTATCAAGTACAAGGATTATTATTAAGTCTTTTTGTGTCTGAGACCGGTGAACTGGGCTTTGATTCACATTTAATAGAGTCCATGCTGCAGTAATCAAACCTTAATCCAACTGTGTAGGGGGGCGGAATTCTGTAGTGAGGTTTCCTTAAAGTTTGCAGGTGGATTTAAACACACAATTTAAATCAATGTCCTGCAAAATGCTATTAGATTTTCATTTTTTACCAAGCAAACTGTGTTAGGTGTTATCAGGCTGACTCCATCCACCAATCAGTCATAGACTGACTCAATTTACCAATCAAAACCCACTATTGCTGGATGTGTGAGTTGGAGTTTGAGCCCGTGGGTACAGAGCTCCAAGCTACTTTTACGAAGATATTTAATTCTTTCAATCCGCAGGTGATGTGCGACTATTGTAAGAAGTAGGCCACTAAAAGCAGTTTCACAGGTACCATAAATGTCCATGGAGGCCACCGGTCTTGTAGTTGAATGGTCTACTCCTCCTTTGAACAGATCAGGCAAAGGAAAGAGCTGTGCCATTCCCTGGAATAATTGGGTGTTTCTTTTTTTTCTACTGTTGCACATCACCTGGACAATGAAGTACCTTTGCAATAGTACAACATATTGTGCGATCCCGGTGTCTGATTTGTGGGTTAGCAATCAACATCCAAACATTGTGGATTAACCACCTGTACAGAGAAAATTACCGGCACCCTTACTTATGAAATCAACAATAATGAAAAGCATCACGGGTGATTCTGAAATCCTTTGTATTGCTTATTCATTGCATAATAAAGGCATGTGTGGGGAGAAATTCCATCCAGGTAAAGATTTATTCTGTATCAGAGCATCCAGAATTTAGCAAATTGTTGAATTCAGTTCTTCACAAACTTTGAAGTCAGTTAAAAGAAACTTACAGAAAACTGACTTCAAAATTAAAGCTTCATTTAAGAATATGCCAAATTTCAAACACTCTGAAAAGCTACATAAATAAAGTAAACTAACCCCAGGTGGAAGTTCTCCCCAAAGGACACATTTGCACATGTTTTGTTACCCCAAACACCAAAATAAGTCCACCATTTATGTGAGCACAGTATGATACATCTAAATAAAAGCATTGGTCACTTGCTCTATTCACTTCTGTACACCTGCTTGGGGATCTCTGATATTTTTCCACAGAAGTTTCCACATTGGCGTGAAATTCCACTGGGCTAAGGTATACTCTTTTTGTTAAGTATTTCAGAGTGTATAGAATTTGGTAAATTCTTAATTACAATCTTAATGTTGAAGCCTTTTTTTGTGTAAATTGGTTGATATGCCTCAGTGCAATCTCAGAGGAGAACCTCCTACTGCAACAGCACCAATTTTCCAATTTACATACTCGCAACGAGACAAATTGTGTCAAATTAGGAGACAAATAACTGGGTTTCAAAAAAACACCATTTAGAGTCTTCACAGATGGAGAAGACTTAAATCCCATCAATGTGGATTGGATGTGAACCCATGTCCCAGAGAATGATAGACCAATTTACTAACCCAATGCACAACACAGTCCTGGCAAATCAATAATTTGTGTGTTTTTACACATGACTCCCTTTTGAATTAAAGATATTTTTTTTTCTCCCATCTTTTTGTAAGAGGACGGAGGCAACCCATTTCCAAGACTTTGCCAATCCAGTACCGACCACTAAGAGTTGTCCAAGATCATCAATGATGCTTGCTCCATTCAATTTATTTCATGTTGGGAAACACCTTGACTTTGCTTAATGTTGTCCCTCAGCAGCAATGGAATAAGGTTAGTAATCCAGCTGTAGATCACAAAGCCTGTACCTCCACTACATTCCGCAAATGGGTCACAAGCAACACTTCTTCATCCATGCTTCAGCATCCAGGTGATGGAGGGGTTGGGGGAGTAAGTGAGGACATTTGATAAAACGTGTGGGCACCAGGGAGGCGACATGGACGGTAAGTGAGATAAGCTGCGATAGCATGCATGTTCTGGAAGACGCATGATAGTAAGCAAGGATATTTGATTTAGGGTGTGGCTACTGGAGAAGAAATAATGAGGATGTTAGTTTTACAGTGAGGATACTTAGAAGGGATGTGGGCAGTGAGTAAGAATGTTTAGGTGAAGATACTGGAGAAGACATGGGCAGTCAGTGAGAAAGTTTCTTTTCTTTAGTTTGTCGTTACTGAATAGAAAGCGAAGATGTTTCTTTAGCGTGCGGATCCTGGAGGGAGGAAGCAAGGTAGGCAGAGCTGCACAGACCAGATGGAGCCATTTAATTTCAACACAGGTGGCCAAATGTATAAATGTTGTCGCTGCACTGAAACCAAAGGCACCAAGTGAGACACTGAGCTTAGACAACAATTTGGGAGCTCACGTTAACACAACGGGAGATTCTCCACTGTGTTACAAAAGCCCAGAAACTGTGAATAATGAACAGAACAGTAGAAAGCCTGCAGTTTACTTTCCAATATGGATGTTGTTTTTGAACACACTTTACAATTGGGTTTTCCCCCACTTTGTAATTGGATTTATTATTTTTATTAAGTTCCCCATGATACACAACCGAGCAGGTGGATTGCTCTAGAACCTACACCAGTTTTGCTCTTGAAGTGATTGCGAGAAAGTAGATAAAAGCTCAGTTTGGTTAAAAAAACTTAAATTTTCTTTTTCTCATTCCCTCGTCTCCCCCTCAATGTCTTTCCCAAGACAGCGCATATGAGATCTGGAACTCACCATTTGTGAAGCTGCAGAGGCAGACACATGCCTGACATAGTCTGTAAGCACACTAAAGCCCTGTAGCAACCGGGCTACCTCAAACACCAGATTAACAACATTCAACTGAACAAAACAAACCAATCAAAGCATTAATTCATAAAACGTTTTGCAGCATTATAAACATTTTTTTAATCAAATAAAGCTTAACACTAGGCTTAATCACATCATTAATATTTAAAACAAAAATATGCAAAGGGCTGATATACATTTTTTTGATTTTTAAAAAGAACTAATTACTATTCGGTCAACAAAAGATAAACGATTAAGTTAAACAATTAACTTAAAGAGGGGAAAAAGGCAGTCAGTACCTGTCTCTGCTTCTCCGCGATGGGAATGCAGCATTGCAGCCTTCAACCGTGCAGACGTGCATCTCCTTCAGGTGAACGTTCTTGTAGTGTAACTTCACGCTGTAGGAGCTTTTAAAGCTCTTCTTGCACACGTAACAAATCTTGGGATCGGGACTCAAGCACAGTTCGCTCTCTGGTGAGAATTTCTGGGGGCTGCTATAGCCCACTGAAGGTGAGAAGCCTTCTTGAAGGGCAGGCATGCTCCCCCCTCCGCCATTGTACAACCCATACTGGCTGATACTGAAAAACATGTCATAGGTTGGGTCAGTGAACTCCTCCTTTATCTTGATGGTTTCTGGATGAGGGGAGTGCGCATTGCGCTTGTCTTCATCCTTGCCACTCAACATCTCATCCTTGTCATACATGTCTTTGTGTGTTTGTTCATCGTTGTCCATGGGCTCGTCGCACATCTTGGGGTCAGAGCTTTCCGACTCATCCTCAAAGTCCCGGTCGTGCTCTTGGTCTTCAGACGTGATGCTGCCCATTTGTTTGTCCTCCAGCCCACCCAGGCTTCTCTCCTCGTCCCCAGCCAGGGTGCCCTTCACGGGGAGGCCGGGACTCATCTCGTCGTGTGAGTCACAGTTATTCATCTCATCGTCGTGGATGCCATCATTGCTCAAGACACAGTTGTCCCTGGACTTGTCATCATCATCGTACTCATCGGCGGTGTCGATCACCTCCTTCTCAATCTTCACAGGCATGCTCGATTTCCGGGACTTTTTCTTGGGGGCGAGATCTGCCGTGTGCTGCTCTTGAGGAGGTAAAAGTGCGGAAGCTTGTGGCTCGGTGAGAGAAGCCTGCTCGATGCCGGGCACTGGCATTATGGGGCTGGTGGGCAGCGATGTAGGAGGGCTCACCAGTTCACCGGACGTCAGGAGGCTTCGGTAGAATGGAGGAACGGGCTGAACTGTCTTTAGTGAAGGGAAGACCAAAGGGTTTTGCAGCACTGGGTCTATCGAAGGAGAACTGAAACCCATAGAAGGACGTCCAGGAGATGTTAAACTTAAGCTTGATTTTGTGCTGGAGATGACTGGAGTAGCTGCTCCAGACGTGGCTCGGATGAGGTCCTTGTCTCTGTTGTTCCTCAGCATGGGCATGTGGAGGCGTGGGTTGGGGTTAGCACTGTGCCTGTTACGGCTCCGCAGGGAGCTGAAAACCATATTGCACCCGTCGATTGTACACCGATGCTTGATCTTCAGGTGGACAGCATTGTAGTGGATCTTGAGAGTACCTTTGTCATAGAAAGTCTTAGTACAGGCATTGCAGACCACACGCCCTTTTCTGGGTGTCTGACCCATCCTTTTCATCCTTTGAATCTTTGCGGTCAGAAAGCTACTTTTGGGGATGTCCAGCTTGATTGGATCGCTTGCAGGAGGCGAAGTGTGAGTGGGCGAAAGGTTGTTGGGCTCTATTTTGGGCTCGACATTGGTAATGCTGCTGATATTTCTGCCGTTTGCCTGGTCATTTCCGAACGGTGAGATAGAAACTTCCGACTTGCTGCTCTCAACGTGTTCGTTCTGAATGGGAAGGTTTGGCTCCCTCAATCTCAGACTGGGCTGTTCGAGCAGGACTCCGTTTGGAGGAAGCCCGAGTAAAGGAGCAGAGACTGGATTGATGTACTGGAATGGAAGCAGGAACGCCAAGCTGTTGGGGATGTTTTCAAAATGGTGGATACTGGAAGGATTGCCGTTCTCTAGATGAGACAGCACACTAGGACTTCTGGCACGGTTGTTACCTTCTATAAAAGTCCTGATATCAGAATCTGCCTTTGAACCTGGTACAGCTACTGCTTGCCCTTCCTTCTCTTGAATTGCCATCAGCTCCACGATGGATTTGGTTTCTCCGAACCTCAGGAACTGCTGGAGGGTAATGATCTCCTCTTCCCGGGACATGATGGCCCAGCGGTCCAGCACCTTGCCTGCAGCATCCTTCAGGCCATATCAAAGAAACAACAAAGACAAACACAAAAAACTTATTGATCCTGCATAATTACGGCAGTCGATTGAAGATGCTCCGCTGTCCACTAATGAAACAGAGGCCCAGGAGCAACATGCAAAGATTGCTAATACCACTCGACCCGCAAAGCAAACTTTTCTAGCATGCAAATGTGGTAATTAGGTTCACTGATAGTGAAACAGACAGAGTTTAATAATGTCAGAGCAAACAGAATGAAAGCCATTGGGACTCAATGATATGAACTACCTAAGATTCTGCTATTACAAAAACAATGATCGCTTTTATGTAGATGTTCAGTATACATTGCTTATTAATATGGGAACTCTTGCTGTGCAGACTCAAAGTAAATTAAGGATCTTTTCTATAATCCTTACAAATATGGTGACATGGGAGGAAGCATCTGAGAAAAAATGTCTGCAAACACGAATGAGTGCGGCCAAAAATAATACTATGTAATAAAAACAAAATTGATTTAACAACAATTGTTGTGGTTAACTGTTCTTAGTAATAGAAAAAAAAACATAACGGACACTCATGATATTCTTGTTCCTAAATAACTCAGTAATGGGTGTTTTCATGACCCTCCCGAGATAGGTGCCACAGTCTGAAAACCACGATATGATTTCACTGCTGTTGTAAATAATACAACCTAAGACAGGACACAAATACTGTACTGCTGAATTATTCCTGTTGAGATAGGAAAGAGGGCAGAAAAACAGAAGAAAGGTAAGAACAAAAGAAAGAACGAACAAATAAACAAATGAAAGAAATAAAAGAACCAACGAAAGAAAAGAAAAATAGAAAAGAAAGGCTCCAAACTTAACTGTGAACCAAACTACCACACATCCAAATTGAATGCTAATATTAAAAATGAGATGAAGGTTCCACATGCACAGTTCTATTCCTTTTTATCATAACATCTTCACAAAAGAAAAAGGGAGAATTTTCTGTAGCCGATGATCACTAGAGCCTTTGTTAAATATACATTAAAAAGCATTCCGCAGCTTTCATATTAGCATGTCAGTCTGCTATATGCCTCGAGGTAGCACTGGAAATTTGATGTTACACTCTAGTTTTATTCTGGACAAATATTGTAACATATTAATGATATTGATGTAGCACTTCAAATTAACTCTTTGAAACATGAAATAATAAAGAAGGAACAGCAAAAAAGAAAAAAAGAGTCAGTGGAATGTGAATGCTGATTTATCTCTTCCCCCCACACATACACACACAAATACACACGTCGACTACTGCATGGTTTGAAAGGGGAAAGGAATTGAATACATGTGATTCAATTGCAATAGGCACAAACATGCAGAAAATAGTTTTTTCCCCAATGCTAATTATAGGTGAATGTATGTGTGTTGTGTGTGTATGAATGGCAGAGGATGCTCAGTAGGATATGATTACAACAATACAATACAAATTTACATTTATATAGCGCCTGTCACATCAGGAGGGCATCACAAGCACCCGAGCTGAGGGTAGGAGCTGAGGGGAATGGGAGCTGAGGGAGTTGGGAAGAGCATTGATACTCATTTTGACATAAACAGGATAAACTCAACAAGATACAGACCCATAGCCCAGCCAACGCAACGCAGAGACACTGGAGAGTCTTGTACCTTTTGTATTCAGTTCAGGGCAGAGCAAAAGTTCAGAGTTTCTACTTTTGATTCTGACCTGATATTTGTGGACCGGACATATTTGGACTGTCTATATTCACGGCCATGGTTTATCGCTCATTCTCATCAGTTCAATCACTATCCGACGTGCAACTTTCCAGCAAATAACCAAAGGCTCCACATCACAGTGCCGTTGAACCTTCTGATTATTTCATTATTTTTAGAATCCCTAAATTCAATGATGATGAAAGCATGTAGTAACCATCAGAAAAAGAAGAGGAGAGGAGAATAGAAGAGGAGAGGAGAATAGGGGGTAAACTGATTGAATCTGATTGTGTACCTTGCAATCCATTGAGTTTTATTCCGATTTTCAGGCTATTATACCCAGTTCTGTATGTATTACAATCATTCACACAGTACTGGGCATTGCAGTAAAGTATTTTATTGATTCACTAACAATTACTTCAACATGTGAAAGATAAACAGGATTAGAGTTCCACCATTAAGTCTTCGGTGGAACTTGAAAATGAGCAACAATAAGCCCCAGTTTCCCGATCTTGCCTTTTAACTGATTTATAAATGTACCCTCCAATGTTTCCAGTTTCATTTTCTCTTAGCACAATTTCCAATAAGAGTCATCCCATAATCTAGAGTGATTCCCCAAACCCTTTTATAGATAGTACAGCGTAAACTGCAGCATTCAGTGGGTACTTGGTTAGGGAGCTTCAGAGCAGAAATGCAGAGCAGAACAGATCAGCATCTGCCCCATCGGAATGTCGAGTCTCCTCGGGACCGTGTTACAAAGCGGTAATTCTAACCGGCAGCAGACCCTCTAAAAAACCCACAGGTGACAAAGATAAAAGGGAAGTTCTTTGCTTTCCAAGTACTTCCTCCTGCATTATTATTCCCTTTTAAGGCATTGTTTTTTCTAACAGTTCCACAGCAATGAGTTTGTGATTGAGGCAGAGTATGGTGAAAGTGGTACCAAAATGCAGCAAACATTTTTTGCTTCCAGTATCAGTATGTTGTTTTGCAGGAATGGGTGTAGGGGCTGCAGGGAAGAATTAGACTAATGTTTCAACACATATCAGGACTGATTCATTAAGCCTCAAAACTAGAACCAAGCAAATAAGCAAATTTTGCTCAGAAACAAAATACAGTCAATTCACTTGACAGTGTATCCTGTGAAGCGCTTTGAGACATCTCAATGATGTGATAAAGTGCTATATCAAATGCAGGGATTATTATTATAAATACAGAACACACATTTGCAAAAGTCAGCACTGACTGTGCAGCTTTCTGCTAAATAACACATGCATCAGGTACAGATTGGTGTTCTCGCTTAACTACCGCTCCATCATTCCAGCTGCCTCTTGTTAGTCAAACTTTTGACACTGAAACTGTCACACCTTTTACCGGGAAACATCCGATGGATTACTGGCAGGAGGAATTCGGGGGGGGGGGGGGGGTGGGGTAGTTGGCTTTGATCATTATTTTAAACATTTCCCTGCCTTCCATATTCACAAGGCATTTAGAATGTACCCTGAAGGATGCTCCTTTAGATGTGATGCATCAACCTGAGATCTGGTTTGTTACAAAACTGCCGGCTAACATCACAGAGAGTGCAGCAGCTTGTTGTGATTATGCATAAGCCCAACGCGTTGATCTCAACCTGGTGAGAATTGACACCAGAAAAAAAGGTTACATAAATGTATGAAAAATGTTTTTTCACAGAGTAAGGGTGTTCACATCATCTAATAATACTATGCGAGCTCAGCAGTGAAAAACTGTTTTCAATTCTATGCACTGCTCTCGAAAATCATCTTGAAGTAATTTCCTGCTTACATTCCCAACGCACAGAAAAGCTTTTTGAATGTTCTGACCCAATCCTATGCAACACCAACAAATGCATAAATAAACAAGAGCGCTGGACAGATAGCACCAAATAAATTGATGTGAATATACTTCCTCAGATTGCACTGCATTCTGTTTGAAGAGTTAATGCTCCCACAAGGTCAGGATACGGATGACATTTTTGGTTAAGTTTTAGATCTCAAATATTTTCTTAGAGTCACATAGTTCAGGTCACAAATGTAAACCCGTGAATAAGCAGATGTCCATCTTGTTAACATGAGAGCAATGGGAAGGGAGAAGAATGGAGCTTCTTTCCCCATTGTTGCTGTAGAAAACATCCTGAATAGCCATCTTGCAAAGTCTACAACTTAACTTCAGAGTACCAGCAAGGGTCTCAGTCCAATTCTCTTCAACCTGTCTTGCAATAAATCCTTTTTGCTGCCATGGGGTCTATCATATGTTAATTGCTAACAAAGCCATCTTTTTACTACATCTTTATATTATAAATGACAGGGCAGAACAAGACTAATTGTTTTGAACAATCTTAAACGTGTTATCACCAGTCCCCCTTCAATTCCTGGATTTGTTCATTTATGCTGTCTGTTATCTTCAAGAGTGGTTACTCTAATGAACCAATTTAGAATTTTTTTTAAAATTGGGGTCAAATACACAATATTTCTAATACAGGGGGACCCTGTTCTAGCGGCCTTTGCCATAGTGTTGCTTTGTTTGCAGTGCGGAGCCGCTGACTTGGAAGTGCAAAGCATCTAACTTCTGGTGCTGGCTAAAAAAAACCTGACTTCTGGGTCATCAGGTGACTGCTGACGTCACTTACTGTGTTACACTCATGCACGCTACATGCAGGAAGGGTTGCTATTGTCACTTCCTGCATCATGGGCACCCGTGTAGGAAGAAGTGGCACGAGTTAGGCGACTGATTTGGAAATTGGCCATTTTTTCATGCCTCTCTCTGTGTGTTGGTGAGACACCTATAGAGAGGCATGAAAACATGGCCAATTTCCAAATCATCAGTTGTCCACCTCATGTCACTTCTTCCTACATGCATCTCCAAGAGCAGGAATGATGTGCATGTTTTACCTTTCTCCAACATGGAGCACCTCATGAAAAGATTAATTAGCAGGCTGATCACGAACTGGCCTAAATCATCAAATGAAGAGACACATGCTGAGATGAGACAGGACCTGCTAGGTGGTGTTGTCACCACATGTGAATGGGGATTGGGTATAAAATAAAAATGATTACAAATGCAGAGTGATTTTGTTAAAGAATGTACAAAGTTGACAGAACAACTGCTGTGCAGAAGAGTTGCAGATAAAGCGAGCATTGGAGTAACCAGACTCAGAGAGGCAGTAAGCGACATACACATCACAAGTGAATGAACCCAGCCATCTGGTAATGACATCATTACAAATGAGAAAAACACAAGTCCCTTTCTGCTTTGTTTCTATTGTGCTCCCCAGGTTTGTTCCTAAA